ACACACACACACACACACACACACACACACATAAACACATTCAAACTAAACCACTGCCACTCACAATTACTTACATTCCCGCCTGAAACAGTATAGCACAACGTGAGAAACACACCAACACACTCTAACACAATCACCCCACTCTACCCAGTACTCAACTCACCAATGGGGATGTGCTGTGTGTAAGCCAAGGTGAGAATGAAGCAGAAACAGACGTGGAGAAATGGTTGAGCCATCCTTTCCGACCGACACAGGACTCCACTCACTCTAGCCACCAGACACAAACTCGGAGCCTTTGCCGTAAGTATTCCAGTACGTCCACAGGAAGTCAAACACAGGTCAAAGCCGATCGTTTCTTCTTTTCTTCACAGAGGCAACAACTTTTCTCCAACTCCAACCCTCAGTGTCACTATCGGTGGTATTGGTTCACGCAATAATAAATGCTGCCCGAGGGAAACATAAACGGAGACGGCATACCACTTTGGGGGGATTGCTTAGGAATACGAAATGTTTCCTCTTAAGTGTATGTGTATATTTTCAGCAGTCCTTCAGTCGCTTGTGAAAGACAGCCTGCGTGTGTGTGACATTTACTTACGGAAGACACATATTCTAAAGCGTCGTTGTGTTCTTATTCCTGGAAGAAATCGAGATAATGATAATTATCTTTAACAGTGAATATATTTTATCTACAGTAGAGAATACTATGTTCTCAGTATATTCTTAAGAATATTCAAAACCCCGAAAGAGTTGTTATTTAGTATTTTTTGGACTTTTGAGTTTGGGGAATTATGCTCCACACAAAAGCTGTTATTACGGTCCAGAGCATTGTGGTCCACTATCTAGCATTGACAGAACCTATAGCATTCTGCGGTGACTCTGTCTATGATGACGTAGGTTTGCCTCCTCCCAACGAGAGGTCACTCACACACTCCTGGAGACAACAACTAGATGATACCTACTGCACGCACACACAGACACACACACAGTGCTACGTTGATACCGGCGCACTGTACCAGTTAGAGATAGAACCACCCGTCCCGTCCCCCCGGGAAACTAGAACACGCGGGTACAGACCAGGACCGCGACAAGAGCCGGTGTCTAATGAACAACCAGCAACTGGCCGGTTTGGCGCGTGCGGGCCTCACTCACGTCGGCCGCCGGTGTAACCGCCAAACACTGCATTCTGCCCGCGGAGAGTCCGCGCGTTTCGCAATTTGCCGGCTTGGCTCTCGGTCTCTCTCGTCTCTTTTGGCGCGGGACGAGACGGGACTTTTACAATAACAGTTGTGATAGTTCGTGAGCTATAGATAGGACAGGTCTTTGACTGACAATAACTGTTCTGATAGTTCATGGGCTATAATAGATAGGACAGGTCTTTTACGACAATAGTTCTGATAGTTCATGAGCTATATTATAGCAACATAGATAGGAGGGGTGTTTTACAATGTTATAATTGTTCTGATACTTTATGAGCTGTATTATAGCAACATAGGAGGCGGGGTCTTTTACAATATAAGTTTTGATAGTTCTTGGGCTATAGATAAGAGGGGTCTTTGACAATAACAATTCTGATAGTTCATGGGCTAGATTGCGGCAACATAAATAGGAGGGATCTGTTACAGCATGTATTATGATTGTTCTGATAGTTCATGGGCTGTATAATAGCAATATAGATAAGAGGCAGGAGTCTTTTACAGTTATAGCTCTGATAATTCATGAACTATAGATAAGAGGAGTCTTTTACAATAACTTTTCTGATAGATCACGAGCTCTAGATAGGTGGGGTCTTTTACAATAATAGATCTGATAGTTCATGTCCTATATTATAACAATAAAGATAGGGTTGTTGTTTTTTTTTACAATAATAGTTCTGGTAGTTCATGAGCTATCTTCTCCAGTCTCATAAAAAATGAGAACACACGACGGATGACGGCAGTTTACAGGTTATTAGTCCTTGCTCGATCGGCGTACAGTTGGACTCCAGGGGCTGTCTTCGTAGGTGGACGGGAATATTTGTTCCTCCTGGTCAGCTACCGGACTTACCAGTGACACCCTCCAATCGTTCACAGAGACAAAAAAAAAACGATATATGAGAGGTGAAGAACAAGACTTACCAGTGACACCATCCAATAACTCGCTCAGACAAAAACAGCAGATGGAAAGTAAAGATATAGAACTTACCAGTGACACCCTCCAAACACCCACACAAACAAACAGAAGAAACAGACTCACCCTCCTCTCCATCGGCGCTCTGACAACCACTAAGTACCCTCAGTTTGGTTACAGTAGGTAGACCCAGTGCCATTCTATAATAAAGGACTGCGCGAACATTTTCTTCACAAACATACATATACATACATACATACATACATACATACATACATACATACATACATACATACATATTATACACACACATAAACACAAACACACAAACACACGCTTACACACACATACACACCTATACAGAGAGAGAGACAGACACACAGAGAGAAAGACAGAGAGACAGACAGAGAGACAGTCAGAGAGACAGACAGATATACAGACATAGAAAGAGAGTGAAAGAGAGAGAAACACAGAGAGAGAGAGAAAGAGAGAGAGAGAGAGAAAGAGAGAGATTGAGAGAGATAGATAGATAGATAGATAGATAGATAGAGAGAGAGAGAGAGAGAGAGAGAGCAAATCGTGGTATTCATCCTTCAATTATTGAGTTCCTGGGGGTCAAAAAAGACCAGCAAGAGTCTTCAGAGTATCGACAAGACGCTATGGGGAACAGGGGGTCAAAAATGGAAATTCCTTTATCTGTGGCCACTCTAGACCAACTAATAGGAAACTCTGATGCATCGTATGTCGATCCAACGCGCTTTAAGGTACACCACGGCAGCCTAAAAAGTCGATTTTGGTATCCAAAACCGATTTTTCGATTTTGGACTATTTTAGTAGAGCAACATCTGCTTTATCGATTGAAAATATTTTCAAGTGTCCAAAACATCTATAAAGTGCTCACATATGCCATGTATTTTAACATTGTGTGGTAATAGAATGGTATGAATTCGTGTTTTTTAAAGTTTTCTAAAAACTATGATTTTCTTAGGGGGGTGGGTCACCTTGGCAGAGATATTTCTAAAAGTACTCGTCGCAGCTGAATCCAACTTTGCATGACTGTTTCTAGATAATATGTTTGCAACGTACTAAAAGATTATTGTGATAGTGTAATAAGTCTTCCGTCAGTGTTAAAAAGATTGGCAATATAACTCTGATTTGTGATCATTTTTTTGTCCAAGTATCGTATATGACACTAAAAGAGCAGTTACAAGAAAAGTATGAGACTTAGGAAAGTAAATCTTTAGTACGTTGCAGGTTGTATATACACAAACTCTGTGTGACAACATCAAGGCTGTATCAATTCAATCTTTTTCAGAATCCCTGCCAACAATTTGCGCGAATTTTGGTCTGTCGAACCCTTTGCATCTTAAAAATTCAAAAAATTAACAGTGAAATCATATAGGGATAGTGTGTTTCTGTTTCTTGACCCATACTGGTTATTGGGAATCCCAGTATACTTAATTTAGAGCCCAAACAAAAATTTTCATTTCAGCTGTACCTAGTTCACCTTAAGAAAGAACCTTAGGACAAATCTTACGCACGTTTAAGTCAAAAGACACAAATTATTTTTGTGTGTGTAAAACGTTCTTCTACAACAGACACATAATATGTACAACGTGGAACCTGTTACTATAAAATACTGAAGTGGACTCTTCAATTAATGCTGCCTTCTATTCATTTTAATTTCGTTACTCATCTAAATTCTGTCGACAGGAGCCGAGTAAGACCACCTACATTAAAAAAAGAAACCTTGTCTCCTCGCTATTTAAAGCCCCGGAGTTCTGAAACCCTAGAGAAAATGGCTGCCAACTGTTGGACCATAATAATATGGACTATCACGCTCCACAAACACAAGTCGTTCGTGATGAAGAAAACACATGTATGTTTTAACCGTCAAAAACAAACTAAGACTAAGAAATATCCAGAAAAGACGAGAACTGAGGTCACACACAAAGGAGTCAAAGTGTCTTTAAACGTTTCCCTCACAAAAACGCCGATCAGCGATGTTTACACTCAGTTTCTTTGCATTTCCCCCAAAATGCTGTTAATGGCAAGGTTGTTGGGGTTTTTTTCTATATGAGCCGTGTGCTGACAAAGAGAGCTAAAGATTTTCTTGTGTGTTGCTGGCGGCAGTACATTCACATACAGTACCGGACTTTATGGTGTAGTTAGTAGGCACTTTGCCATCGTATATAATATTATGGAAGACGTGCGGTCGATTCCCTTCATGGAACGTATTTTATTAAGTATATCTGTCTGTCTGCTGGAATACTGTACCCTATTTAGACCAGTCTGGGCATGTCAACACGGTCGAATCAGTCCGTTTCCTAAATGATCTAATCTCAGTCAACTGGGGCGCAACACATTTACGATGATACATTAAAATTTGCTGAGGATATCCTTAGAAATCATATGTGCTAGTATTATCATACAAAACTAAACGCCTGTCTCGGAAACTTATCTCTATGTTAATCTAAAGGTGTCGTGATACATTCTTGCATGGGGTCGAATGATGCATCTGGGGTGATATGTACATCCTAATTGTCTGCTTTATGGATTTTAAAGAGAATATAATGTATTTTCTATATATAACCTGCATGTATTATTAAGGTCCTGTATACCCAAATAAAATGTCCCATTGGGGCAATAAAATCATTATCTTATATTATCTTATCTTATCTTATATTTTCTTAAGCTAAAACATTGTATTGCGTCCACGTATCGTCAGGTACACATGGTAGAGAGCAGTCGACACCACACACGTGTCTGTCCCTGGCCACCTCGTCTGATCTTGGCTCGCCCAGGACCTGAGTGAATGTCTCATCTTTGATTGCGCTTGTTTTTACTGCCAGTTGGTCTACCTCTTCTCTTTTTATTCCATTTGGTCTCGAATACCATGTCTAAAAGGGCAATCTTATCTCTGGCATTTTCAAAACATGTACCGAATATCTCCATTTCTTTTTTTTTTTTTTCCTTTTCCTTTTAAAAAGTATCTTGCCAAAAATGTTTCCACACTTAAACAAAACAAGGCAGAGCACGTATTGCTTGGTTCTATAAAAAATGACAAAGCGCAGACTTAGAATAAGAAACCCATATCACCAGGTCCTCTTGAGAATAAGAAGTACAGAGGAGACATCGAGGTAAAATCAGGCGCTCGTCAAAAAAAAAAAAAAAAACTACATTCAAAGAAACTGGAACTTTTGTTCGCTCGTCGTAATTTTTAAAACACATTTTTAAAAAAATCAGTTATTGCTTTCTTTGTTATTCTGATCAAACACATTTTATACCCCTTCGCAAATTCATCCCTATATATGGATTTTACTGGAACAAAAACGTTGATCAACGGCACATAAAAGGAAAATTTTAGTTTCCAAGTGCATTCAAGTGAAGAAACCTCCAAACTTTTGTGGCCATTTTCTTCACTAAATGTACCCCTGATACCAGGTGACTTCCCACCTCCTTCAACCACAGCCTCTATTCAAGAAGGATGGGTATTTGTGAGGCAGCGTGGGGGAAACAGGCTCTCGTCAAAATAATCAAAGTGAAGAAACTTGCACTTTTCAGCAGGTTTGTGTATTTTTATAACATTTTTGATTTTTGGCTGAGCACTCTTCATGCCCATTAAAAAACTCATTTCAGTCTGGATTTTTCTGAAAAACGTTTTTTTCACTTACCACGGACTCTTCAGCAAAGGAAATAACAAATCTCTGGCGGCCATTTTCTAATTAATTTTACCTCTGAAAACAGGTGACCCCCGCCTCCTTCATTTGCAAATATCTCGACTTGTATTCAAGATAAATGGATATTTTTAAAAATCCAAATAAAGACAAGTGAACAAGCTTTAAGATTCTGATGATACCAATAACTCTACATGCCCAAAAATTGATGACAGCCTGATTCCACCACGCTGCCTAACATTTATTCTTTAAAAGTGAAACAAATAAAAAAGCTTCAAGATTTCGCTAATTATTAAAATATTCCAAAAACTGACAAGCGCCTGATTCTGCCACGTCATGACACATTTGGCCAGACACCCAACTCGACTGTAAAAATACGTTT